ATTGGCTGTCATGAAAGAAGGTGATAAGCCTGTAGGGAACCATGCGACCTGCCCAAAATACACATCAGGGCATCCTCATCATGGCCACCATGCGGCCTCTGTCACCATTTTAAAGTGATATTACAATGCTGTGAGGCCTAGGGTTGCCAAGTCTTACCTGCTGCTGGAGCGGGGGGCTCCCGGCTTGTTCCTGGAGCGCGCGCGCATGCCGCAACCCCATCACCCAGAAGTGACGCGACCACGCCGGGCACGCTGGGGGCGGGGCCACGACCATCCGAGGGAAAACCATAGAGTTTTCCCTCGGATGACCGTGGCCCCGCCCCCAGCTTGCCCGGGTCACTTCCGGGTGACATGCACGTCACGTACTTTGGGGGTGGGGTTCCCCCCGGGGCCCGATCCACCACTGGCGGGGAACGGGCCCCTGAGGCGGGGGTTTCCCCGCCCCCTGGGGGGACTTGGCAAGCCTAGTGAGGCCCGATCTGGCGTGAGCCCACATTGCAGTACTCTTTGTTTTCCCCATGACTTTTCAAGTGCCGAAACAACCATGGGTGTGTGTGCAGCCATTTTGCCACTTGATAAGGCATGGGCAGGACAACGTCCGACTCTCACCTACGGTGCTGCAGGCCAGAGCCACTGCAATATTTTGAAATCACTTTAAACCAATGGTGGTGTCATGATGGCAGCCATGAGGATACCATCATGTGTAGTAGAAAAGAGCAAGAATCCAGTAGCACCTTAAGGACTAATAAAATATGTGGCAGGGTATAAGCTTTCATGAGTCACTGCTCACTTCAGATACCTTGATCATGTCTTGTTCATGATCTTCTTCAGATCATGTCTAGTTTGGCTTTCAGCCAGAAGTAAAGGCTCCAAAGACTTGATAGCTAAAGTCTTGTTTCGCAGGGCTCTTTTTGTAGAAAAAGCCCAGCAGGAACTCATTAGCATATTGGGCCACACCCCTGACAGCACAGCTCTAGCACATTAGGCCGCACCCACATGTTACCAGAAGTGTGGTTATCCAGCCACACCCACCTTTTACTTGTTAGTCTGTTTACCTTGTTTGTAGCAGGGACTCCTTTGCATGTTAGGCCACACACCCCTAATGTAGCCAATCCTAATGAGTTTCTGCTGTTGGGTGTGGCCTATTATGCTAATGAGTTCCTGCTGGGCATGGCCAACTTGGGAGCCAAGCCGGAACTCCGTTCCTGTACGTTCCTGCCCAAAAATAGCCCTGCTTGTTTGGAATTAAAAGCCCAGCGCAGTCCTGAGGCAGCAATGGATCAGATCAATGGCTCTCAAATCCAGCACCTTGTGTCCTACAATGGCCAAAAAGTTGCCCTCAGGCGGCCTACAACACAACGCACAGAGGCGAAAGCTATCTCCTGTTGTTCCATTCCCGTGGAGTACTTCCTTTTGTCTATTTTGAACCTGCTGCCCCTGGAAGGCATGGATTTCTCTTCGCATCGTTCTGCTCTTCATGTAGGATCTCTGTCGTCAATTAACCAGGCAGTTGTGTTGCTATAGGGCTGAGATGGCTGCAGCTCTGAATAAAACAGGTTTCCAGTGTCCCCTTAAAGAATAACATTTATTCCAGCATGAGCTGTCATGAGTTAGAACTCTCTTCTCCAGATGCTATGAATAGGAAATCATATTCCACATTTTTACAGAGAAAATTATCAGAGAGGAAGGGGGAAGAAAGCAGCAGAGGCTTCTGAGTAATATCTGTTTTCTGTATAAAATGGGTAGCCTTATTAGCCTGTAGCTGCAGAATAAAACAAAAGTCCAGTGGCACCTTAAAGACGAATAGTATAGTCCAGTGTAAATTTATGCTGGAATAAATTTTGTTACTTTTTAAGAGGCCGATAACAATCCTAATTTTTGCTGTACTTCTCCAAGCATGTCCAAATTCTGAATCCAGGATCCAAATAAAGAATATTTCCCTAATTTCATATCTCTCTCTCTCTCTCTCTCTCTCTCTCTCTCTCTCTCTCTGTGCCTATTTTATTCAGATCAGATTCCACCAGCAATCTTGAACATAACACAACCTCTACCTAGCCAAGAACCACACAGCCCTCTCTGCCGTTCAACACCCTAAACCACAGGCGTTGCTGTTTTTCCTTCTCATGCGCATAAGGAAAATAAACCACAAAAAGGGGGTTGTAGGGCAGGAGGAGTCTCTCTAAGCAAAGTATAACACATATATAAATGTACTGATGTACAATGAAGCATGGGTGGGGGGGCAGAAAGATCTGTAAAACGACAAACAACTGACAGAGCAGTAAAAGTTAGTGCAACCAAGGGGTAGAACACCTGCTTTGCATGCAAAAGATCCCATGTTCAATACTCAGCATTTTCGATTAAAAAGTTCAAGTAGTAAATAATGTGGAAGACCTCCCTCTAAGGCTCCAGAGAGCCACTGCCAGTTAGAATAGGCAATACTGATCTTGATAGTAGATCAGTGCTCTGAAGCCCAACATGTATAACCAACCTGTATGCAGTCTCAGAAACTTGTTATTGTGCTTCATTTTGTTCCCACTACATCTTCTAAAGGTTGCTATTGCAGATCTCTGTTTTGTGTGTTTTATGATGTACCTAAATTGTGCGACACACACACATAGAGAGCTGTTTCTCAGGTGTAAATACACTTTGCAGTGTACCCTACTCCTCAGGAAAATCTCTCTCCCTATATATGACGTGTCGATCCACTTGGCCAGGATTTGGGGAAGATAGCAGTGACTTATGGGCTTTTCTTCTGTGGGTTTTGGTCACCTCAACAGCCTTCCCTTTCTCTACCCCACCCAACAACTGCCATTTCTACTACCGCTTTCTACCTTTACTTTTGAGGCTGCTTGCTACTCCCTTCTTCCTGAGCGACATGTTGGTCGCATGTGCTATGTATAAGTTTGTACAACGGGACAAACAATGGTGCCCTGGGACTATTTCAGGTAGGGAAACAGGTACTGGGGGGAGACTTAAACCCCCTCTTCACATGTGCCACAGTCCCAGATTGGGAATTAAATTCTCAGCACAGAATGCCTAGACTTTGCAATGTGTGAAATGGCCCTGAGAGGGACTAATCTCTTGATGGTCAATAGATTCAGGAGGGACTGAAGGAATTGCTTCTTTACTCAATGAACAATTAAACTGTGGAACTGAATGGACGTAGTGACGGCCACAAGCACAGGTAGCTTTCAAAGGTGATCAGACAGATTCATAGAGAACACCACCATAAATGGCTACTAACCATCAGGGCTTTTTTTGTAGAAAAAGCTCCGCAGGAACTCATTAGCATAATAGGCCACACCCAACAGCAGGAACTCATTAGCATATTAGGCCACACCCCTGACCGCACAGCGCATTAGCATGTTTGGCCACACCCCCACGTTACCAGAACTGTGGTCATCCAGCCACGCCCACCTTTTGCTACTTATTCTGTTTACCTTGTTTGTTGTCAAAACCCAGGGCTTTTTTTGTAGCAGGAACCTTTTGCATGTTAGACCACACACCCCTAATGTAGCCAATCCTAATGAGTTCCTGCTGTTGGGTGTGGCCTACTATGCTAATGAGTTCCTGCTGTTGGGTGTGGCCTACTATGCTAATGAGTTCCTGCTGGGCGTGGCGAACTCGGGAGCCAGCCGGAACTCCGTTCCTGTGCGTTCCTGCTCAAAAATAGCCCTGCTAGCCATGGTGACTAAAGGCAGTAAACCTCTGGATACCAGTGCTAGAAAGCAACTTCAGGTGTAGGCCTTGGCCTCTATGTCCTGTTTCTTGGCCCTCCAGGGCAACCAGTTGACCACTGTGACAAGCCGTATGCTGGGCAAGATGGACCAGTGGTCTAATCCAGCAGGACTCTTTGTGTTCTATTTGCATTACACAAACAAGATGAAGAGATACAGTTGTTATTTACACAGGTCATTTATTAACACACTTGAAAACACAGTTTGAAACAACAAGTGGTGTGTGTGTGTGTGTTTGCGTGTACTGAGGGGGCCATTTTGTGTAGATCAGAGGTTACTAGCCCTCTGGGATCCAAGTGAAACCCAGCTAAGTGAATTCCATGCAGGGAAGGAAAGAGGTGGGTTAAAGTGAGTGAGAGCGGCCAAGGTGGTAGGTGGATTGGTTAAAGGGCAATCTTGCAGGGAGAACTCCCACCAAACACCACACACCCAGAAAGTGACGCTAGCACCCTCCCCAAACTGCAGGTGGGCACGAGAAGCCATGTACAAACACCATCTATCCCATGATGCTCTAGGAGGGTGAAAGACAGGAAAGGTTAGTGCTTTCTTCCCCACAATACTTTGCAGCAAAGGGTATTGGTGATATTTTTTGTTACATTTATTTGCAACAGCATGAAACAGGATTAGTGCTTCAGGTTCCTTCACAGAATCTTTTACTTGTATTTTTTTTCTTCTCTGCCAATCCTTTCCAAAGAATTTCAACGTATTGTTGGGTTTCCCTCTCCCAATATGAGCTCTAGATTTCAGCTTTCCTATTTTTTTTATTCTTTTAGGCTCCTGTTATTTCTATCAGTTCCCCAGGGAAGGGCGGAATATTGATTTTTTCCCCTTCCCACAATTCCTTTGTGCTGTCTCCCTAAAGAAGTTGGCTTTCTTTTTCTTCCCATCGTACTTGTGGCAGCTTTATCCAGTCCTCGCTGCCTTCTTTAAGGATGAGAAAGGAAGGGCGGACAAGGAAGGGAAGAAGAAAGTCATGGGACAGGATGGAGAACAGGGAAGGGACAGACAACCGAGGGACAGTCCTCCTCCCCCCACGGCGCATGAGCGCGCACACTGAGGGAAAGCGGAAGGGCTCGGCCCCAACAAAGACATGGTTGCTTAACATAGATACAAGAAGTTGAGGAAGGCTTCCCCTCTCTACTGTTCCCTACCCCTAGATATTGTGACTCATAGCTGTTTTAACCCTGTGGAGAAAAAGGCCCTTCCTCTTCACTCATCTCCCGCTTTCCTTCTGCCTTCTGCTTTCTGCCTTCATGTCTTCCTTCATTGCAGCCTTGGCCAATACTGGGACAGATCAGGGTCCCCACCTGGGACTTGTACAGGAACTGACACTCCTGGAGAGATTAACCCTAGAAAGAGAGAAAAGAAGAAGTCATCAGAAATCCCAAAGTGATATGTTATTGTGCATTATGGTTTCTCTGCTGGTGAAAAATGGAGGAAAGGGGTCCTGTTTGACCTCCCCAAGAAGGCTATGCTAGGGATCATGGGACCTGCGTGGAAAAAGCCATGCTGTAGTGATGAATGGGTGAAACTGAATGAAAAAGTTGGCTAGATCCCACCCTATATCCTAACCGCTTCCCCACAAGCAGCTGTGCCGCCCTCACTCTTCCGTTTGCCCCGGCTGCATTGGTCAATTTCACACTATTCGCTGCGTGGCCACATTTTGACCCGTAGCTCACCCCGATTTCCCCTGTGTCTTTTTGATCTAAAAAAAAGGTTGAGAAGACGCAGGGGAAATTGGAGGGGGGGAGATGCAGGTCAAAATGTGGCCACACAGTGAATAGGGTGAAACTGACCAATGCAACCAGGGCAGATGGAAGAGCGAGGGTGGCACAGTGGGGAATCGGTCCCTGCCTTTCTGTCATCACAGAGAGGACAGCATACAAAGGGTTTCTAAGAGGTATCCCATCATGGCAGTAAACAAATCTAAATCTACTTAGCTTCAGCAAGGGTACTGGACCATGAACATTCAAATCTCACTCTGGGTCCATAAAAATAACAACAAATAGGCTTCTAAATGTAGCACATCTTATCTCTATGTAGTAAACAAGCAAGGCAAGTGAAGTAAAAAATCGTGTTCCATTTGCAGAAATGTATGTTTTTGTGTTGGGGTGGGTGGGAGTGTGTTATGCATAGGGTTCCCAACCTCCAGGTAGCACCTGGAGATCTCCCTCTATTATAATTGATCTCCATTCTACAGAGATCAGTTCCCCTGGAGAAAATGGCTGCTTTGGAGGGTGGACTCTATGGCATTATATCCCATTGAGGTCCCTCCCCTTCTCAAATTTTGTCCTCCCCCAAGCTCCCCCGCCCAAATCCCCAGGTATTTCCGAACCCAAAGTCGGCAACCCAACAAGTTCGCCCCAACAAAAATATCCTGAATGCTGACAAGGCAACAATGGAACTGATAACAGAGGCTGAAGAAGGAACAAGGCCCCATGAACAAGGCCATAAAAATGTGAAATCCATAATTCCTAAAAGTCCTCCCAAGCCCTGTGGGGATCAGGGTGCTCTGGATCAGGCACTGGCTGGCTCTCGCACTGCCAGGCCTGCAGATCAGAGGAGAGAATTACAAGCCATTCCAGTAGGCATAACAACCCATGATCCTCTTGGCTTGGGGGGGGGGCATCTGGTGCCATCAAAGGATGTAAAGACTTGCTAGCCTGCTGAGTTTTCCTCATCTGGGCAACTTGTTGCTGACGTGAAAGGTCTTTTCCACCAACCCTCTGGGTTCCCAGACTTGGGGTCCCTCAGAGTTCCAGAAGTCCACATTAAAGATCAGGTTACCAACCTCAAGACAGGGCCTGGAGTTCTCCCAAAATTAAAACTGATCTCCAGACTACACAGGCCACTTCCCCTGGAGAAAACGCCTGCTTTGGAGAATGGATTCTATAGAAGTGCTCCCCAACGTGGTATCTATGGGTGCCATAGTGCCTGCGATGTTTTCTGGTGCCAACTTCTTCCCCAAAAACCTCTCTTCCTCAAAGCAAAGAGCCCGATCTGGCTTCCCTCCACTTCCCTGGAGTAGGACTCCTCCTGTCCAAAGCTACCAATTGCTGTGTGACCCCAGCTCCACCCCCAGGGTTAGCAACTTTCAGGTGGCATCTAGAGATCTCCCACTATTACAATTGATCTCCAGATGACCCAGATCCTAATAGGGGTACCAGCCTCCAGATGGGATCTGGGGATCCCCTGGAATTATAGCTCATCTCCAGACTACAGAGATCAGGTCCCCTGGAGAACATGGATGCTTTGGAGGGTGGGCTCTATAGCACTGTACCCCACTGAGGTTCCTGTCCTTCCCAGACTCCATCCCCAGATCTTTAGGGGTTGCCCAACCTGGATCTGGCAACCCTATCCCACCATCCCCCACCAGTGGCCAGGGGGGACCTGGCAACCCTAGCAGTCCCCCTGGAGAAAATAGCCTCTTTGGATGGTGAAGTCTATGGCATTATACCCTGCTAAAGTCCCTTCCCCCAAACCCCGCCCTTCCCATGCTCCACCCCCAAAATCTGCAGGTACTTCCCAACCCAGAGCCAGCAGCCCTACCCCCCCAAACCCCATTTGATCCACTCCCCATTCACAGTAGCCTCCATACTTCCATTACCGGTAGAGGCCCCGTTGCTGGAGCTCAGGTTATGAGATGGGAGCTGGGAGGGCGTGTAAGAATCGTAGCTCCGCACAGAGGAACCTCCAGGCAGCATGCAGGAATAAGACGACGTCTGGCTAGCCACAGGGGGCACTGCCTGCTGTTGAGGGCAGAACAAGGTGAGACACAGGGAGGGAGGGAAAGTGAAGATTAACAACAGGAGGATCAACAGCTGTCCTCTCCTGTCTCCCCCACCCCACCCAGTTTTAGCCTTTGCTTATCCTTTTAAGGCTCACCTGGATGGGGAGGCTGTTGGCCATGGAGAAAGTAGGTAAGGGCGGAAGGGCACCATAGTTGTTGCTGAGGGCGCTTTCTGTATGGCTCAACATAGTGCCTGGAAAGAATGAAGAGATGGGGCATGTGACACAGGGTGGGAACCTGCTTGAGTTCCCAGGGAAAGGGAGGAAAGCTATGAATCTCCCAACAGGTAGTGGTCCTTCTAGGGGATACGGTCACAGCTGGATTTACAAGCAAGCTAAGTAAACTACAGTGCAGGGTCTTAAAGTTATGAGGGGCTTCTAAATAAAAAAAAATTAAAACCACTAAATTACCATTTGGGGGGTATTGCCATGCGGGCTCTCAAACTGCAACTGACATGGCAATCCCGGCAGGGGGCTTTCAAGGCAAGTGAGAAGCAGAGGTGGTTCACTATGGCTTTCCCCTTCAGAGTCTTCTTTGGTGGTCTCCCATCCAAATGCCGACCCTACTTAGCTTCTGAGACCTGACAATCCTGGGCTACACCATGCCACCTTCCTTCCAGGTAATGCTAGGGGGCTTCTTAAACTTAACATAGTTTCGGGCCTCAGCATGTCTTAATCCAGCCCTGGATACAGTACCTTGCTGAAAATAGACATGGGATATTCAATGGGGATTGACTGAGCTAACCGAGTCCATGGCCCCTACCTGATCCAGTACGTTGTGGGAGGGACTGATAGACGCTGCTTCCCCCAGTGCCAAAACTGCTGTTTATGGTCAGGTGCCCCCCAGCGCCCCCTGCTTGGCGCCTCTGGTTCCGCAGTTTCTCCTCCCGACGCCACTTGGCGCGGCGGTTGGAGAACCAGACCTGGAGGAACAATGGAAAGTAACCAATTACCAAGTGAGAAAGGGATCTTTTACAATTTCCCTCTGCCCCAACCAAGCTATAAGGTCCCTCTCCCTTTACCTGAATCCGGGCCTCCGGGAGATCGATTTTTGCTGCCAGGCGTTCACGGGCAAAGACGTCGGGGTAATGAGTGCGCTCGAATTCTGAAGAACGTTGAAGGGGGGGGGAGTCAAGTTCAGGAAACAAATGGCATTAATTGTCAATCTCCCACAACCTGACAGATATCTTGGGACAACCTGGCACCTATCTTTGGGTGCTGTCTTTCCTATATTACTTTTACTAATTCTTGTATCCCTCATCATGTCAACAAAATGTATTGCATTACACCTTCCTTTCCCTGCAATTCCCCCCTGTTGGATGCTAATGGCGCACAGGGGCAGTGCATCCTCTGGATTCTTCACTGCTATTCACTGGACTTGGAAAATATTGGATCCCGTATGCTGACATCTGGGACTCTGCAGTACTTGCTGGCTTGTTGTCCAGTATCCTCCATTTTGCGCTCCCCTCTGGCGGATCTGATTAATCTGTGCACACATTCTTCCTTTCTTCTGCCAACACTGGCTTGCAAGTTGTATGGAACCACTAGAACTCTTTACTGGGCACTATGTGCCGTGCCTCTGATAAAAAAACAGGGCTGAGAAGCGGCAGAGCTGAAATGCTTCTAGAAAAAGCAGAGTTAAAGGAAACAACTGCATGAGTCAAAGCTGTAATGCTGCTAAAATTCACTAGATGGCCATGCACACTTTTTGGCCTCCTAACAGACTAAACTGGCAACTCAACTGGAATTATTATGGAAGGTACTCTTTTCCATGGGACATATTGATATAGGATTACCAATATTTCATTCCAAAAATTCTAGCCTCATCTGCAGAATGCCTTTGAATATGTACAGAGCAGTTTTCCTTTGCAAAAGGAAGCAATTTCTTTCTTTTTTATAAAATTAGATCTTAGCTAAATATTCTCAAAATACCATCCTAATAAATGAAGATGCTCAAAGGGAGGAAATCCACCTGATGGGTTGGATCCAAGCAGCATTTATGCCAGTGAAAAGAGAGAGGGGGTTCCCTCTGACCACTCGCACAAAGAAGTCTATGCTGGGGATCTGCACGCATAGGTGAAATCCATGGCTGGATCTGTCTTCATGTCATTTATTACTCAGAACAAAGTTTGAGTCCAGTAGCACCTTTAAGATCAATAAAGTTTAATTCTGGGTATAAGCTTTTGTGTACACGTATCTGAAGAAGTGTCTTAAAGGTGCCACTGGACTCAAACTTTGTTCTATTGATTCAGGCCTACATGGCTACCCACCTGGATTTATTACTCAGAATATCTCTGTTCTTCTATTGACTATAATTAGTGTCCCAGAAAAGCTGCCTCAAAAGGAGAATACCCCACAAAAGCTTGTTTCTCCCACCATTGCCCATGCCATCCTTTCAAAAGAGGCATCTGATGGCATTTGTTCTTTAGACACAATTTTGGTTGGATGGTAAACCTGCATCCTTAAGATTTGCATCAAAGAGAGGAAGCCCCTGACTTGCTATTTTTAAAGGCAGGGTTAAAGCTTTATCTCCATCGGGTGAGGACTGATAGCAGAATGAGGCAGGAATTAGGTGGTAGAGCTCCATGAAGGTAGGAGGAACTGCATCACTTCAGAGTCTAGGTAGGCCACATTGTTAAATTCTTACTTCTGTTAAAAACTCCCCATAAGTAGGAAAAAAGCACAATGGACAGATATAGCCTTTTGCTCTGATTTTTAACTTGTAGGAAGGATTTTTAACTTGTAGGAAGGATTTTTTTTAATATATAAGGAAACATTAAAAAAGGCACCCCTGTTTGTAGCCTCAAGCGGGATGATCCACTCAACCATCTAAAGATTACAACATCTCTTTCTGCTATGGGGTCCAGTTCCTGGCAGTCCCTGTTCCCCATGGGCATTTCAAAGGCTGGTGGGGGGAAATGGGGTGGGGCACACTAATGTCATGCCAGCACATGACATCACATCCAGCAAAAAATGGAAATGATGTTATGATGTTGGGGACACTTTAGGATTCAGCCATAACTCTATGGTTTAACCATAGAGTTGGGGATGAATCCTACAGTGTCACTCCCTGACGTCATGCTGTCACTTCTTTTTTTTACTGAAAGTGACACCGCACACTGGTTCAGTGTCAGCATGCCTGTCCTCACGCCTTGAATCCTCCTGGCAAGTAGCCACCTGAGCCCGGCAACCTTACTTTCTGTTGCCAGCGAGACCACAAACAGACAGGTGGCTCTTAGGCAGGGCAGGAGGGCCACTTAGCCTGGGCCACAAGCTCAAATGGGGCTCATATTTAGACACCTGTTAATCTGGGGGCCTCTCTGGATCTCTGAGAGGGCTTGGAACTAGTAATGAAGTTTTATATTAGCAGCACCCTGGAATCCATTCCCTTTCTCATTATTGGCCGCCTCTCTAATTCATGTTTACAGACATGCATGACTGTCCATGAGAAAATGAACATAATCATCTGCCAGCCAGCCTCAGAGGATTTGCGGTGGTTCACTGAAAAGCCACTCAGTCTGAAGGCAAACAGGCCTGAGCTCCAAAGATGCTGAGCTGGCTGGATTAGCTGTGTAACCACAGAATAACTAGCACATGGCGACATGCAGACACAGCTCATCGATTCTCATTGGTGTAATACATATTTGTGTTCACGCTCTGCATTAAAATAGAGCTTCCGCACGTCTCCAGTGCACATTAATGAACATGTATGAACTAGCACATTGTGCATAACTATGAGAACAATGACACCCAGGTCTTCTTCTACTTTCCTTCAACACCCACAAGAGGAGAATTTACCTAGCTCACCACCCCATTCCAACATCCCAGAACCTCACCATTCCCCCCCACTCACCTTTCTCCAATGCCTCTATCTGCTCCTGCGTAAAAGATGTCCGGTTCCTTTGCAGTTTGCGCTTCAGTTGCAACCGGATTTGGGACTCATCTAGGTCTTGGCTGCTTGCACCTTGTGGGTGCTCAGGATCCAGCCCGCTGTCCAGTTGCTGGCAGCTATCTGAGGTTGGAGTGGGAAACACACATGTGAAACAAAGAAGAACCCTCTACTACCTTTGTCGTCATTCATTTTCCATCCTATTTGGCTAGCTAGCTTCATTGACTGAAGCGTAATAATCCCAAGGTTGTGGGTCTGGGTGCCACACTAGAAATATCAGGCCTCAGGGAAATAGTTGTAGCTCAGTAACAATGAAGACAGAAGCCCCAGATTCCATTCCTGGGCTCTCAGGAGACCTTTCTCTGCCTGCTGCCAGTTACTAAGCTAGATGGGCCAAGGGTATAATAAAGCTGCTTTCACACATGTTGGATAATGCACTTCCAATGCACTTTAGCAATCATTTGCAAGTTGCAACCTATTGCTCAAGGGCACTGAAAGGGCATTATCCAACATGTGTGAAAGCCAATTATGCATCTAAATTTTGCTTCATTTTCAATGCACCAGATATTTGCAGTGACAAACTTCTCAGACACTGGTCCCATTTCAGAAATATGGAAACCAAGATTAGGTAACAGTGAACACAGACTGGAACCCAGCTCCCCCAAGACAACGGGCAATGTTCCGCAGCATGGACCACAGCAACTTTCCAGTTGGTGGCTGCTGAATTATTTCCTGCCAAATATCCCATCTCAGCTCTCCTCAGATTCCCTTCCATCTTCTCCCACCACCTTTACTTTGTCCTCTGTATCTCACATGTTTCCCCATGTTTCCCTCACTTCATTCATGTATGCATTCCATCAGTGATTAGGCAGCAGGTCCAGGTCCTCCCATTCCTACAAGTGGGAAATCAATGGTTTTAAAACTTCAAAAACTGCCCCCTCTGCTCATTAGCCAGGAGAAGAGTCCTCCTCACACACTGGGGAGGAGCAGGCAACTGTAAGCCTGCCCAGCAGGGCATTCAAGGGAAAGAACATGGTGCCAGATGGCATTTAACCACTGTGGGAAACTCCCTGTGTTCCTCTGTACCAGAAAGGGGCTAGCAGCAGTAGGTAGGATTGCCAGCTCCAGGTTGAGAAATTCCTAGAGACTTTGGGGGTGCAGCCTGGGGAGGATAGGGTTTCAGGAGGGGAGGGTATCTCCCTTATATATATATAAAAGACAAATGGTGGTGGCACTTCTCTAGAACATTCCACACACTCCGGAATTGGTTGGCGCCCTGGTGTATCACTCAGAATCTGTTCCTATCCACTGGCTGCATTGCTTGAGTCTTGCCTCCAATGTTCTAAACAGTTTGCTGTTCCCCTCTCCCCACAGCCAGTCAGAACACAGAGGTTATTTGCATATGCAGCCTTATTGGCCTTTGCCTCGGAACACAGAGGTCGTTTGCATATGCGACTTCATTAGCTTTTGCCTCTAACATTCTAAACAGTTTGTTGTTCTGAGGTAAAATGTGTCCAATCTCCAGGTGAGGGCTGGAGATTACTCAGAATTACAACTGCTTTCTAGATGGCAGAGAACAGTTCCCCTGGAGAAAATGGTGAGCTCTGTATCCTTATATGCTGCTGAGGTGGCCCCTGTATGTGACGTAGCAGTCAGGGCTTCAAAGCACGGGAGAAGCTGCAGGTGTGTGGGGGGGTGGAAAGCTGAAGAGGGTGGGGATATAAAGGTAGGCTGATGATTGGCTGGACAGGAGATATGGTTGCCAGCTCCAGGTGGGAAATTCCTGGATATGTGAGGGATGGAGCCTGGAGAGGGTGAGGTTTCAGGAGGGGTGGGACCTCGGATAGGTACAAAGCCATAGACTCTACCCTCCAAACCAACCATTCCCTTCTGGGGAACCATTATTGCCAGTCTCCAGGTGAGGCCTGGAGATCACTCAAAATTACAACTGTTCTTTAGGTAGCAGAGATCACTTCCTCTGGAGAAAATGGTGGACTCAGTGTCATTATACCCTGCTGAGGTTGCCACAGCAAATTGACACTGAGTGTCCAAGGCCGGGGCACTAGGGTTGCCAGGGCTAGGTTGGAAAATACCTGGAGACTTTGGGGGTGGAGCCAGGAGAGGGCGGGGTTTGAGGAGGGGAGGGACCTCAGCATGGTACAAGGCCATAGAGTCCACCCATCAAATCAGCCATTTTCTCCAGGGGAGCTGATCTCTCTCAGCTGGAGATCAGTTGCAAAAGCGGGAGGGTTGGCAACCCTATGGGCACCCACCCAGAGCCTCTTTCTAGAGGCCATTGTATTTATTTCCACAACGATCCTTTTTCCTAGTAGCACCATAGAGGCCAGCCATTTCTGCTGGAGAACCAATGTCTATAGTCTGGAGATCAGTTGTAATTCCAGGAGATCTCTAGGCCCCACCTGGAGGCTGGCAACCCTAAGCAGTAGGTAGAAAACACACACAATCATACCTCAGACACCCAAACTCAATTTGCACCTCTCATTCCAAGAGCAGAATTTAGTGCAAAAATGTGAGAGCAAAGGAAACTGTTGGTAGCTACGGAAGTGAGGCTTGTGGGCACATCCTAAGAGCCCTGGTTATGCTGCTGACCCAAACTCCCGCCTGCTCTCTGGGACCCATGTCCCCCCCCCATATTCTCGGTTCAGATTACACATCTGGAGTCCCAGCGACAGAACGCCAGCATCACGTGCAGTTCCGCCCTCAGCCCTATTCCTCACAGACCACGGATGCTCCTTTTCCAGGCCAGCTCCTGCCCCCTCCTTATTCTCTCAGGCCTTCTCTTCCTCCTGGCTGACCGTGTGGAATTCGTTCACAGTGACAGACATTTATTAATAGTTTATAAAAAGAGTTAATGAATGATTAATTAGTAAGTGTTAAGAAATTGTTAATCCATCGCTGCACACCCAATGTGTAGAATCTCGCCTCCCGACACGCTCGGTGGGGGACAGGAGGGCCCGAGGCCTACAGGGGCCTGTGATCCTGAGGCCTGCGAGGGTGAAGAAAAGGGGGGAGCACATACACTGGAAGCCAGGACACCTGGGTTCTTTGAACTGAGCTGACTTGACTTAAGATGCCAGGAAGACATCTGAAATTTCTGGGAACAAGAAGTTCTAACGTATTAGTAAAGGTTTTCTGAGATGCGAGGAAGCCCAAGAGGTTGGCACAGAAGTGAAGAAGGAGGGAAGCTGGATACCCCAGGTCTAGGATCCTCTAGGAGAAGAACAATGGGGTGGGTGACAGCAGGGAATTTGGGGAGCCCACGAGGGTTTAACCTTTTATCCCGGGGGAGCTGTGGTCTGAACAGTGACCTTTCTTTGCTTCTACAAAGCCAGGCACTCGGATCTCCGCAGGCGACGTGAAGCCAGGGCGTCAGCCACAGTGCCCTAATGCGAGGCGACGTTGCCAGCTCCCTCCCCCCCCACCTCCCTGAATCCTTTGCAGCCCCCGAAGCAATGAGATCCAAAAGGCCCCCTTGGTGAAGAGTGTCTCTGCTTGGCCCCAGCCCAGACAGTAGTGTTGTCACGATGCCCCCCTCCTCCCGCTACCACCGCCAGGACCAAATCCAGCTTGCCTGCCCAACCCCCAGCTCTGCTCTCTCTCTCTCTTTCTCTCTCTCCCCCCACATCCCCATCAGCTCTGTTTTTGCTGAGAGATCTTTGCAGAATGCAAAGGGAGGAAACACACTTGCATAAGCCCAGAGGGGAAATGGGGTGGGGAAGAGGTTGATGAGAGAAGAGAAGGGAAGTGTGGGGAGGGGAGGCCCTGCACAGTCTCTAAAAACAGCACAGATGGGGGGGGGGGAAGAGATGCAGAAACAGCAAGCTCCATTCCTGGACGAATCACAGCACCAGCCAGGCCCCATCTTCCTGGATGAATGCCAAACTTCAGAACCCAGAATTCCAGCAGGGGAGTGGAGGTCTAGTGGGTTGCAGAACCAGGATGGGTCAGCAAGGTCCAGGCACTATTTGGGTGGGGGCATGAAATGAGTTTTAAACCTGGCTCTTTAGAATAATGAGACAAACATTTTCAAAATACCAGATGAAAAGCCAGAAACTAGCCTCCTTCTTCCCTGGAGGCTTAGTGAGGGCAGCAGGCTAGATGTTACTGCACCAGCAGCATGACAGCTTATTTGTTCTGCATCTACAGCTTAACACAGTGAAATGTATATTCTACTGAGTAGTGTGAAAGTGTGCCCCCCTGACACAGTAGCAGCAGTAGCAAACAGCGTGGGAATGGGTGGGAGAGACATCCACATATCCCCGTTCCCACGCTGCTTGCAGGATGGGAATATTTGTCTGTCGCATGATAAAATACGACAGGAAAAGCTGATCCACCCATTGGATAGTTGTTGTTTTTTTCTTACTGAATTCAACGTACTACTATTTATGGAGTAATAATTTGAAGGCAGCATTAAATGCGCTTAAAATACATGAATTCCTATTATCATCTTTAAAAAACTATCAATTAGCTGAAAGCGGTAAAAAATAGGTTAGATTCTAGAGGAACACCAAAGGCCCATATCATAGCTCCCCCCCCCCAAGCAGGGGATGTAGGTTGTAAATTAACCATACATGTACACAACCTCAGTAGTCTTGTTTGCTTTTAGATATTAGCTGTGAGACTGTACACAGAAAATAATCATATGCACTTATGAAGGTGTCTTATGCGGACTCTAACCACTGAGCCACCCAACCTAGTGTAGTCTGCTCTGACAGGCAACAGTTCTCCAGGGTTTAGGAAGGGAGGACTTTCCCCCCAAAAACCCCAGTGAACGTGGCACATTTTGCGTGCGTCCAAACACTTTGCTCTGCAGCTGAGCTAAGCCGCCCCCTCCACCAATCATACAAGGATCACAAAACAATAGGTCTCTCCTTTGCAAGTAAGAGGGTTATTTTTTTCTGGCCTGCTAAAGAAATTTCCTTCTATTGTTCATGGTGTAAAATTGAATGCTGGGGCGATGGAGAGATCTGTAGGTGGCAGCACTCGGAAGCTGGCTTCTTATGTTTCTTGTCCGCCATCAGGGCTATTTTGGGGCAGGAACGACGGAGTTCCGGCTGGCTCCCGAGGTGGCCACGCCCAGCAGGAACTCATTAGCATAATAGGCCACACCCAACAGCAGAAACGCATTAGGATTGGCTACATTAGGGGTGTGTGGCCTAACATGCAAAGGAGTTCCTGCTACAAAAAAAGCCCTGGGTTTTGACAACAAACAAGGTAAACAGAATAAGAAGCAAAAGGTGGGTGTGGCTGGATGACCACACTTTTGGTAACATGGGGGTGCGGCCTAATGGGCTAAGGAGCTGGCCTGTCAGGGGTGTGGCCTAATATGCTAATGAGTTTCTGCTGTTGGGTGTGGCCTATTATGCTAATGAGTTCCTGCTGGGCTTTTTCTACAAAAAGAGCCCTCTCCGCCATGGTACTCCCCAACCTGATGTATACAGAAAAGTGTATCTAGTTCTGCTCCCATCTGAAAAATCCATTCATATGTCAGACATGCCATGAGGCAATAGTAGCATGGGTCTCTTGGAGCTCTTGTGCAGATGGAAGGCTTTTCACTCAAGGAACATGACCCTCACCCGGGTTGCCAAACTCCAGGAGGGATAGGGTTGCCAGCGTTCAAGTGTTACCTAGAGATCTCCTGCTATCACAATTGATCTCCAGGCAACCAACATCAGTTCCCCTGGAGAAAATGGCTGCTTTGGAGGCTGGAGTCTATGTCACTATACCCTCAGGGGGCCCCTCCCCAAACCCTGCCTTCCCCAGGGTCCCTCCCCAAATCTCCAGGAATTTCCCAACCAAGAGTTGGACACCCTAGGTAGGCTTCTTAAGGTCAAGCTAAACGTTGCATGTAAAATTAACATAACAGAGCCCTGAAAAGAAAAGTTCTAACATAGAGAAGCACTTAATCCTTTCCCTGCTTGCTATTCTTCTAACTATTCATTGGGTGCATTCAGACAGGCCGTTTAGTCCACTTTCAGCATGCTTCAGTAATGGATTTTATATGCACAATCACGCAGTCAACATCTGCCTCCTGTCCCCAGTCGTTGGTTTCTGGCTCAAAACCCCTTTAACCCGGAGTACTTTGTTACCAGGTCCCAAAGTGGTGTTTTCTCAGCTCTCCTGTTTAAAGCCGCATTTCCCACGTTTGATTGCTCCTCTGGTGTCAAGCCACTTCCGGTTTAAACCCCCTCTCCACTCGAAAGCTGCCCGAGGCTTCCACTTTTCGCCCACCATTTTTTTATGCGTTGGCGGTGTGTGCATAGGTGGAGCTCCACTACTGTGTTTAGAAAACCGACATTTAAACGGTCACTTGTTTTAGCGTTTAGATGAGTTCGGGATCTCACGGAGGCCATTTTCAGGTCAAATGTTTAAAGGGAAGTCTTTTGTTGGAGGGGTTGGATTGATTTGCCCTGGTGGTTCTGCGCATGGGCCATGATAGTTTCGCCCCCCATTCTATGGATGAGTGCCTATGCGCATGCAGAAACTGTGAAAAAAATTTAAAAACCCGCCAACGCACGCTCTCGCGTGTCGGTAGTGTAGACGCCGGGGAGTGACGTGACTGCGCGGTGAGGCGGATAAGGGAGGTAAGTGTGATCGCGATTATCCAGATCAAATATAATCTGATCAGAACCAGAGCATTTTAACCCGCTCTCAGCACGCCGTCTGACCACACCCATTGCCTCTCAATTGGCTCCCCCCTCCCCATGTTTCTTGGGACATTCTACATGTGCCCCAACACTTTGCTCTGCAACTGAACTAAGCTCCCCTCCCCCAATCATACCATGATCACAAAGCCACTACACCACTTTGGTGTGGTGGTTAAGAGCGGCGGACTCTGATCTGGAGAACCGGGTTTGATTCCTCACACCTTCACGTGCAGCCAACTGGGTGACCTTGGGCCAGTCACAGTTCTCTGAGAGCTGTTCTCTCAAGAGCAGTTCTCTGAGCTCTTTCAGCCCCACCCACCTCACAGGGCGTTTGTTGTGGGGAGAGGAAGGGATTGTAAACCGCTCTGAGACTCCAAGTGAAGGTTGGGGTACAAATCCAACTCTTCTTCTTCCATTGGGTTGCAGACAACCTAGCCAGGGTTCTGTTGTGTGTAATGTGTTACTCACCTCTTGCAGAGGGGTGGGTGCAGTTTAGGTAGGAAGGGACCTCAGCGGGGTATAATGCCATAGTCTACCTCCAACGCAGCCACTTTCTCCAGGGGGACTGGTCTCTAGAATCTGGGGATCAGTTGTAATTCGAGATCTCCAGGACACACCTGGAGGTTGGCAACTGCAAGCCTACCTCACATTCCAAGTTCCACAAAGGATTGTGTGCTGGGGTAGACTGTGTGCGGGTGTGGGAGACGTGTCCGTGAACTTCATACCTGGGTTGGGTGGCCCTGTCACCAAGCTGTCTTGGTACCACTCCTGGCGACTGCCCCATGCGCTGTTCTGGATGTTCAGCATTCTGCTCTTCTCATACATGCCATCCACCCCCATGGAATGGAGCCGAAGACCAGAGGGGTAGGGAGAAGGGAAGTGGGACTGGTGGGTGGATGACCCCCACCTGGAAGACGGTGAGCTGCAGGGCACACGCCCTGCCCCAGATAAACCTGAAAGACAACAGCAAGAGAGAAACAAAATAAATTAGCAGAAGCTGGATGAAGCTAAGGGGGTGCGCACAGCTGTGATGTACAATGTAAAAAAGCACACACACACACACCCTG